TATGAGCACAAACCACCTTGCCTCAGGCGGCAAGAAGACCTGAGGTTCGATGACCCCAAAGTGATGAACTCCTACCTCAAATGGCGCAATATTGAAATAGAAGCATCGCGACGGGAGGAATGACCATACAAAGATCTGCCCATCCTATTCGACCCTCTGGAGGAAGATGACTCCAACGTTGATCTCCTTCAATGGGTAACTGAAAACTGGAATGACGACAACAACGATGATGACCTTGTAATGTCATCCCAGGTTTCCTCAGAGTATGAGTCTGATGGATCATTCGGGACAAATGAGTCTTAAGGAGGGGGTAATGTTACGGTTTATTCATTTTTCTTCACTTTCTTACCTTTCATGCTTACATCTTCTTTCGCACAATAACTACGGATGCATTCTCACAGTACTATTAATACTTTAGTCTCTGTGTATTTAAGTAGAGCCTCAGTAACCCCAGCTTTGGCTAAGGTTTAATCTACCCAACCGTTCTCCATGTTTTGCGACTATCTAAGTTTGCCTACCTCCTCATCCCTACAAGTATAGACCTGCAAGTGCATTGGCCACCAAAGTGCGAGTGGCGATCCTTGTTTGATCTTATTTATTGAGTTGGTGGCTAACACTCATGGCTATTTTGTGTCAAAAATTTACTTGGAAAAAGGCTCTAGATAAGACTACAAAAGTATTTAAAATATATGCTGTAATACAATGTTGTATGGCCATCTGTTGGAGCTCCTGATGGCAATGGAACAACCATACACCATACCGTACAAATGGCCATTAGGATGCATTCAGCTTCAGTCTGTATTCTGTATAATGATTACCAAAAACCATACAATATGGAGACAGTATGCAGCCCTAGACCTGCACTGTACTGTTACAGATATAGCCATAGAGGTGGAGGTCAGCTATGGCCACAGCTGTTCTCATAACTGTACTGTCAATGCCCATTGCCCAATCAACTCTTGGAAGTTGGAGCAGTATGGATGGTTACATTTATGATTGTCATGACCATGCATATGGCTGTGAACAGAGCTGCCTGAGATAATATATACTGCATATTTAAAGTGAGTGGTACATCATCCCCCAATTCCCCTCATATTTTTTGATCTTTGTCTATGTTAAGTTGATAGCTGTGAATGTAGTAGGTCAATAAATGATAGAGATGTGCACTGTATCCATAGTATGGTGGCTACATATGGCATATACAGATATGATTCCATACTGTGGCCAACTTTAATAACCCAAAATATAGTTGTATTCATATAGTTTAAATACAGTTGTTGAGAGAGGGACAGAAGACTATCTTATACCATAAAGGTCAGTACCTATGACCTAAAAGAAGCACATAACACTCACACTTTCACACCAGATATCTATTGTCATAATCAAAGTGTCCATATATGGACAACAGTATGGACTTAGGATATGGTACAGATATCACATCTGTTGAGATAAGCGGTAATTCTCCAGCCACTCACCCAGATATAGCAGGGAACCCTCGCAAACAGGCGAGGGTTGTCTTCATTCGACTACCTATTTATCTACTCGCTGTGTACACTAATAGAAGCAACAGGATGTAATAAACGAGTTCTTGCCTGACTAATCCTGACTAATCCTGACAACCGATGATCCCGATGTCAACTGCGCTGTGATGCGCAACACTTGAAACTCCAACAACATCAACTGTACTATACCATGGCCAGTAATTTTTATATGGTCTATGGCTGTATTGCTATGATCATATCCATAAGAGTACAGTGCATATCCCTAACTCCAAATTTTGAGGTTCAAATATTTTTGTCCATCATGCATCCTCAATAGGGGCAGTCAGAGTTGCGATTCTGAGGTGATTCTCACCATGATTCTGAAGATGATTATGGTTTCATAATCATGGCAAAATCACGAGGAACTCTGACTGCCTTTGGCTCTTCAATGATTCTGACCATGATTCTGAAGTCTGTTATATAAGGCAGCTACTAAGCTTTTTGACATCAAGGGTTGACAAGGATAATCAAAACCATAATCACCATGACTGAGAATCATTGAATCACCTATTGGAGGTGATTCAATGATTCTGCATGATTCACAATTCTTCCATGATTCTGTCAACAAAATTGCATCCATAATTGTTGCCATAATCATGTCAGAATCGCAACTCTGACCACTCCTAATGTCCTGTTTGAGCATTTAAATTGGTCCAAATACATGTCATGTCACACCAAGGTTTGAATTAAATAAAACAGTACAGTACATTCATATCCCCTGCTGACATCTATTCTCAACAGCTCAGAGTCTCTTAATAAAGATTTTACTCAACCAATATCCCAAGTAATAAGCCGAATTTGGGGCGAGCCCCAACAAGCTGAAAACTCATGTCATAGTCAGGTTGCTGGGTCCCGAGGTACGAGGGTCCAGCAATCATGATGAAGACATGGATTGGAGGCTTGTGGTTCGGAAGAACGAAATGCTGAGATTTTAGATAATCGCCATTATGTGACACGTGAACAGCGTTCCTCCATTACTATTAACTTCAGGTTCTACACTCAGTTTGTTCACGAATGTTGGCAGAGAGGAAGGGCAACTTAATCCTATGTATAGAAGCGATTAGGATGATTTGGTATTGACATATCCCCATGCTTCATACAAGAGGGTCCTAATAATAAATTAAAAGACATGGGGTTGATTAAAAAATTTCATGCACCGGTGCTGGACCTACCTACCTCCATGTGACCTTTATGACATCATTTCACCCAATTTGAGCATCTCTCAACACAATTTTGCTTGTACCTCACCTGAAATAGCTTTATTATGAATGCTGTAAGTATTTTGAATACAATCTGCATGTTATTATGTCCGGATCACAAAATCACTTCAGTAGGAAGTCTGACATCATCATGTCCAGTAAGCAAGGTCATTTTGGCAGTACTCACAACACAATTGATTGCCTGTCCACATCACTAGATGTTATGTCCTAAGGTAAGTTCTATACCGAAGAGTATATTTTGTATCATATATGGTCTATATTTTGTGCTAAAAGTCCATTTTTATATCTCCAAAATGGGGGTCAACTTTTTTTTGGGCCTCATGGCCTAGTCTTATAGTTGTCACACCCATGTAACCACATAAGGGGGGTTATGACCAATCTCACAATTATGTCAGCTTATATCATTGCATCCGAACAATCAGAAAGCCTATCTGGCTTGGTTGACTTCATGTTTGGTGGGGAATATGGTGTGTAAAACTGTAAAATTGATAGTTTCTTCTAAGATGACCATATCTTGCAGTCTGAGCTGTTGAGATTGAAAATTTTCAATATTTGCAGCCTCAATTTTTGTCATTTACTGAAGCTGAAGGTCAAAGGGCTGGTACCAACCTCACAGAAGCTCTGCTGTTGAAAAACTGCTGTGTTTACATTTTTTAAAGGTTCCTGACAATCCTGAAGGTGACACATTGTAATCAGAGGCCAGAGAACACATTGAAGATGGTAAATGAAAGGGAACCACATGGACATGATGTGATCATGTGTAGGCTGATTGGTCATAACCTAGCTTATGTGGTTAATGATTGACTTTAAAAACAGACTACATATCAACCATCCACCCTATCCATCATTAGGTTGATATTGTTGTCTGTCTATGAGAGACTACTCATGGCCCAACCTACCTACCTACCCAGTGTGCTGGGCCAGAATTCTGGTATCCCCTTGGCTTCACATGACAACTGAGGTAAGTTGAAGTCTTCAACATCATTGGGCATTCCTAGATCTAGTAATGATGAATCTGTCCAAGATGTGACATACTGGTAGGGCAGTACTGGTATTGTGTGTGTCACACATTGGAGTATGATGTAAGGCTTGGGAACATTGGTGTGAACTGAAATATATTCCCTAGCAATTTCTTTTGAATGGAAGGAGGGTCTTCAACAATTTTGACAGATTTGGACTAGGTATGATATGAGGACAAGGAACTAGGTGATATAGGTTGATAGATGAGGATGATAGATGATAGGTGAGGATGTAGAGAGAGAGATGAGGATGATGATTAAGAAGTAAAAGGTATACTAACTCCTTGGTTCAGAGCCCTAGGTGGTGCTAGGCTGCTACTGAGTTGGTGGAGTGAAAGGAAGTATATTGGGTCCCACTGATGTTGGGGGGAACCTCCTTCTTTCTGCTAATCTACAGCTGTATATATACTAGTAGAGAACAATAGACTATTAATTTAGGGTACAATGGAGAACAATAAAACAATGAAAAGGCTTGTAGAACAATGGAAACAATAAGATCTATAATACAATAGAGAACAAAAGAACAATGAGGTTCATGACACAAACAATGAAAGGAGAACAATAAGAACAATAGAACAATAGAAATTACAAGGATTACCAAAAGGGAGAACAATAAAGACAATAGAATGATGAAACAATAGAACACTGAGTCCCTGCTGATGATTATTTGTTCTATCATCAATTTCTGATGCTGAGAGATTTCTGATATCTGAAGAGATAATTCCATCTTCCATCTTTGAGACTATTCTTTCCTGATAGTACAGTTGTGTGAGAAAGCTGATTTGATGCACAGCCTGAACTGGATGTGCACAACAACAAAGTTAATTTGATGGCATAGATCTTGAAAAAAGTGGGTCACCATCTCTATCTTAGCAGTTTGCTCATATCCCATACAATGCAGTCTGGCAGCTTTCTTTTGACAAATCTCAGTTTTCTTTGCTGTCAAATGTGCCAAGCATGCAGCATCTTCTCTGTTGGGGGAGTCATTGCACAAAGGCTTGACATTTTGATTTTGTTGTTGGTGACAGCCTGAGGAACCTGCATCTGCAAATCAGCACACATCATTGTGCTTTGTCTCATATGTGACATCTTTCCTTCTATCCTTGACTCTTCTTGTTTTCAGCCAGTGTCAGTGGATCATCGCTTAGCATTGCCTATAAAAATGGATGTCCTAGACATTTTTCTTCTGCACTTTTTCTGTCCACACTGTCACCCCACCAATGTCCTTACCTCCTGCTCCTCCTGTCAAGCAAAGTCTGAGAGTGGTGGCAGATCTATCTGCACAATGTGTCTCCCCAAAACAAAAAGTTACAAGATTAATCAACTGTATTCTCGGGGGAAAACACTCTGAGCCCAATGTAACACTCTTTCAGCATGGTCCTCCAGAGACCATGCCATCATTGTCGACTACTTCCATTGCTGGGGTACAACTCAACATTCAAGGTGCCACAGATGCCTCAACAGATTTGCCAGTTAACAAAATAACAGTGGAGATGGTAGAAATGGATATCAAGGCAAGTGATATTCATATTTGGCAATCACTAGCCTATCGCAGTTTTATTCTTTGATGAATATTGACTCTTCTTTTCTCCTCAGATGCCTGAGATGATTGATTATGAAACCTACCAGTCCATTGTGGTGGCCATAGGCCATTTTGATTCTTGTCTGGAAAGTGCCGGTTACTATGTAACCATTGTCACTCATACTCTTAATCTTTCTAATGTTTGTTCAATTACTTCTCTTAATATTTATGAAGCTGACCTTGTATAATTAGAAGAATGACAGGCAGTTTCAGAAGTTTCTTAGTGATTGCATCCATTTCTGCCAATTTGCATCCTCAATTACCCAAGAATTCCTGGATAAGCTAAATTCGCTGGTTTGAATGAGAGACCAGACCCTACTGTGGGTCTGGGTGGTAAGTAATCTGTATCAGAATAGACACTAGTATACAGTTTGACATGTATTCTAGTGGTTTGTCAAAAGACAAGAACCTGGTCAACATTTGTGCAGGATCAGGAAGGAGAGAGACATGAACTTCTTGCCAACATTGAGAGTGTGAAATTGTTGGGAGAAGTCCAAAATCCTGACCCAAGGAAGGGTCTGAGATCCCTGACACAAAACAGGTCCAAGTCTTGAGCATCTGATGAACTGGAAACAGGATGGGAGGGACTGAATCCAGCTGCACCAGACACTAGAGGGAGTAGGTGGTGGGCCAAAGAAAATGCAAGGACAGCTACAAGGGATGGATGTGCTAGTCATCAAGGAGGACAAACTGCACTAATGAGGACAACACTCAATGCTGAGCAGTGGCACATTTGATTGGAGGTGTTTATATCTAAAGATATCATCCTATGCTACTTTATCTTATCCTCTGATAAGCCTTCCACTTGTTCCTCGCTGCAGGCTTATCTCAGACAGTTGAAGTTACAGAAGACTACAATGCCAACTCCATATTAACAATTGAGCAGGAATTCCATCTTACTATGGTGGGGTTTAGGAAGTGTATTTTTTCAACATTCAAGATCACCTGCACTGTGGCTAACACCCTAATTTTTACTTGCAGGATGCTAAACATGATCTTGAAGAATTTGGCTGAAGCATGTGACTTGGGGACCTACCTCAACTGCCATGGAATAAGAGACCAGCTGGTTTGGAGTGAACAAAGATAGGTGCTAACAAAGATAGAATTCTTAGTATGCTCTCAATATATGTACTTCCTTTGTCTGACTGATGTCCCATCATAGGAAAGCATACATTATGCTCAATATAAGATTCTCTGCTGTAAAGACACTACTGTGGCTGAAATCTTATGTCATGCAGGCCTTTCTCCTCCAGACTTCCTCAACCTGCAACTACCAGGTAAGAGACTACATGTTATTTGTTGATAATTGTCTCATCTGAAGCTATTAGGTATCGCAATAGAAACAATAACACCTCTATGGCTTTCCAGTCTTGTTATGCTGAGTGACTTTGGATACATCTGTGATGGAAAATTTGTAGTGAAAGGAAACCTGTTTGCATCCCCCTTCCTTGATGCAGCTTTGTAAGCAGTAGAATTAAGGCGGTTGATTTATGAGTGTAGGCCAAATCAGACCTAACTAGGACCTAAACAAATATCAATATGATCTAATCATTTGCAAACAACCTATTATAGTATCTACATCCCACTCCATTTAATTTTCAGTCTGCCTTCTCGAATCTCGATCCATCATCAAATTCTGTGTGCATGGCTGATAACGAACCACCAAATGAACCAACTCCGGCTCAAGAAGATCAGCCTATCAAGCGACGCGGTCAGAAGAAAGGGTCCAAAAACACTCCCGATGCTGAGAAAGGCTTGTATGGAAAATGGCCAGTAGGGCGACCTCGGAAGGTGCCAAAAGAGGTTCATACAGGCTTGCCAGGTGTGTTAATAATCATCTCAGATATCAAAAAGTGGAGTGTCTTATTGTATAAACAGATACTGCTCTGAGCATTGATGCTCAATCTAACACAGCCTCTCAAAATAATGCCTGCCTCCTCACAACTGGCCGGAATCATAGTCGAAGCCCAACACTAAGGCTACAGCAAAGTACCTTCACAAATCTGTGACCCAGGATAGCACCAGACATGCCAAGTTCTGTCAAAATCAAAGCAAAATCAAAAATTCCAACTTGAGAGGGAAAAAAAAATCTTCGACGTGTTAAGGGTGAGTTTTGAGCCTAATTGTACCATTCATTTTAAGCTCATTATTTTTTGTTACAGATCTTGTTGATTCTTTCAATTACAAGGCTTTCAGCGATGTCATCCTCATCAATCAGGAGTCACAGCGCAAGCTGTAAGCTTTCATTTATATCACCTTGATGAGTAGCAGTTTAATATATATTCTTCATACAGGGTCATCAACGCCAGCTTTAGAGACCTGACCAGCCATCTTCTCTCAGGTCTGGCCAAGTGTCATGGGATGATTTGGCAGAGCCAATGGCTCCCAACTCAGACGACTTGCAATTTCATGATCTGTTCTCTCGTGAGTTCCAACTGTTGCTTTTAGCTATTACTACTTAACTATCGGTGCACACTAGTGCCCCCTGAAAGTCCGGCTACTGTGAGAGCTGACTTGTCTGAGCTAAATGACTGCTCCGTAGCCAATGATGGGCCGAACAATGACAACAACAATAAATGTGGCAGTGACTCAGAACTTGATGACGATTTTCCAGAGGATGAGTTCGATGATTGGGAAGATGACGAGAGTGCTCAACAGGGTTGCGATTTAGCACAGCATGTTGTTAGCTCTGCACCGGCTGGAGACTCTGCTTCTCTGCACAGCCACAATCCAAGTCAAAGGGGTGGGCCAGGGAAATCTTGTGCCTCTATACCGACATGGATTGAGGTTTATTATGCTGATTTTATTGTTACTTTGGAAACAGAGATCAGGAATAACCCATCATGATGTTCCAGCTGTTACGATAGGGGCTCTTTCTTTGTCCGAGGCAAAACGCTGGTCTTTGCTATGGATCACATACTTCAATTATACCCCCGAATGTTCTACTTACTAGATTTCTTTGTATGGCTTCCACATCTCTTTGTCTCCAAGATCCCCTGCCCTGCATGCCTTGCAGCAAAACGCACCGGCAAGACAAAAAGGACAGTCAACCTTCATTTGCATGGCTGGGCTAAAAACCCACATCGAATCATTGACCTTGACTCCAATGTCTGGCTAGCTGGTTGGCATTACCACTGTGACCATCCCGAGTGTAAAAAAACATACCAAGGGTGGTCACCAGCAATACTCAAAGTTCTTCCAAAATGGCTGACAGATGAATTCCCGTTTCATCTGACCCATCGCAGTGGCCTATCAGATCATCTTGTTGCCCTTCTATGATCATCTTATCAGCATGGTGTTGGACCGTCGCCTATTTGCCAAAATGATTCAGCTTTTCCACATATGAAAATACGAGCAATGTCATGTTCAATACCTTGAGATGGTTGCATCTCGTGTATTGACCAACAAGATAGGATCAGCAATGTTGGTCAAGCATAAGCCCTTCAGGATGTGGAATGACATTCAGGGATATGCTGGCTTTGTACCATCTCACAACTACTTCACTGGTTTTTACAACATGCTCATTGAGAAGCATGCTCGGGAATTAGATCAGCACATGGCTATGCTTCCAGCTCATATTCTTTGTATTGACCACAGTCATAAGGTTAGCTGTAACTTCTTTAGCGAAATCTCAGTATAGCTGACTAAAGTATATCAGGTACCAAAACATCTAGGCAAAGTGAATGGCATTCCTGTTTTTGGAGCCCTTCATACTGTTGTCAATGAATTCGGAGAAGTTCGCGCTATGACACTCACACCTACCAAGGCACATGACCAGTTCATGCCTGCATTATCAGAGATAGCTAACTCTCTGAAGAAGTATGGCCATGGCAAGATTGAGCTTGTATATACCGATAATGTTCAGCGCTGACAAGCCTGAGCTTGAAAGAGTATTTCCCTCACTTCTTTGAGATGTCTCACCAGTTCCAACAACAACTGCACCCTTAGTCATACCAGACGAGTGGAAGGAGCACATATATATCCTCTCATCTGCATACCAGGTTAACAATTTCTTCAATATCATCACGGATGACCTTGCCCATCTTGCTGAGGATGCCACTCTATCATTTCCCTTTGATATGGAGTGGTCCATTGATCGAAGCCAGGGAATTCAGGGACATGTGGCATTAATTCAACTCATATATGCTAGTCACATCTATCTTCTACCTGGTATGCTCAATTTTATGGTCTCTTGATATATATACTCATGTTCTCCAGCTTCGGTCATACCTTGATAGTGAAGGATACTTGCAGCCATCTTCCCCATGCTCTTCTTGCATTTCTCCGATCTCCACATCTTTTCAAAGTTGGGGTCCATGTACAAGCTGATTTGACACTGGCTTTTCAATGACTGTGGGTTCCTGAAGAATGCCCAGCCTTTTGTTGGTGCTCTTGAACTTGGACGACTGGCGAAGGACCGAAACTTGGTTGACCAGGCCAATATTAGCCTTGCAGACCTTACTGCCAAAATTCTAGAGTGTAACCTTCCCAAGGATGACACTATTCGAGTTAGTACAGCATGGGACAATCCAGTATTGACCCCGGAGCAAGAGATGTATGCTGCACTTGACGTTTTCGCCATCCATTCTATCTATGATACTTTCACGCACCTCTCCATTGGTGGTCCCATAACAAATGCAACAGTTGGGGGAACCATTGTTAAGCTTCTCTCCCATGATCAATGTTCTACTGTTGCATATGGCATCATTGCCCCTGATAGGCCAACCAAGTTTGCTGGTGTCAATGTCTCGAAGACAAGAACCGTAGTCAATGTGACTCGGGTTCTTGCTTCAGGGTATCTCATGTGGGCCAAGCTCTCTTCATCACATCATGAAGTCCTGTTATCCTCATTGGGGACTACATGTCCATTTCAGATTCTATGCTGCACTCGAGATCTGCGTATCTGTACTGGAAAGGACATCACAGAAGCACAGCTTGCAGAAAGTATCACAGAGCCTTCACCATGCTCCCTAGGATTTCATGACATCACCTTTAGACTCTTATACGTCAACTGGTGATCCCATCACCTTGGAAAATCCTACAGATCATATGCTAACATATAGCGAAGGTCTGGCAGACAATGGAGAAGATTACGACCCCAAATTAGAGACCATAGTTGATGAAGCTAAATGGAATTCACGAGATGAAGGAATATCACTGGAAGAAACTTTTTCGCTCATTCTTGGTGATGAGCGAGTTCGCTCTCAAGTTCTGGGAGATACGTGGCATCTCATGGATATGTTCAAGATATCAGTACATCATGGGCTTCGTCGTGCATTCTGAGATGCTCTGTACATGCACGATCCAGATGACAAGCTGAATGTAACAGAATTCCTTGCACGGGAGGGGATTACATACGAGCATAAGATTCTATGGAGCTCTGACTGGGTCTGGAAGAGAGTGAAACTGCTATATTCCTCCACCTGAGATTCTTCACCCTCGTGTGTCAGCCGTCTTTCAAAAATATGGCTCCCTACTAGATGCGACAACTGGACAGCCCCTTTTTAATGATGCAGCATGGGAGGTGGCTAGACGTGTCTTGGAGAATATTCGATTAGGCTATTATTCAGATCCACCAGGTGTTACGCTGTACCGCTCAGACGGAGTTGATTTGAATGGCCTGCAACTGTACCAGTGCTTGCAGGGAACCAACAACATTGAGGGTGGTGTTCACCAGAACATCGCAAAGCATTTCGGCTCATATAATGCATCCCCTCAGTTTGCAGTGAATCTCATTCGTGACTACTGCTATATGCATAATTTAAACGTGAGTTATGCACTATATATAGAGACTTTATACTCAAGCCATTCTCTGACAGGTTGGGACAAAAAATCGACTTCAACACATAGTTTATGGCTCATACGACATTTGGACACGCAACCGCCTTGTCTCTCTCATTGATCAAACAGAGCATGTCTTCAAGTCACCATCAAAGCTTCACCAATGCATTACAGGATGGGTAAACGGCAGTGACTATGAACCATCAATTGAATCCTTCGGGATCCTTCCTCTCTCAGTTCCAGTGCAGGAGAAACTCGGAATGTTGCCTTACCATCATGACTTCACCCAAAATTCACATATGCACCATGCTCGGCTCGCCTGTCATCAAGGCACTCATATTGCAATACTCCCTATCCACATGTCTGAAGAGTGAGCTGTGTTTCATATGATAGTCAAATGGACCAAATAGCAAGTTTGTGAAACCAGGAAAGCCAAACTGGATAACCGTCACTCGTCAGTGGATGGACTATGCTGACAGACAGAAGGTTTTCTATAAAGTGAGTTAGCGAAGCACACATGATGGAGACAAACTCACAAGGTTACCAGTTACCAGAACATTTGAAGAATTATTTCAAGGCCTGGTCAGAATATCGAAATGAGGACAATTGCGTTGAGCTCAACAAAGCAACTCTCATGCACCTGAAATCCCTCTTACAGATATCACCCACCGCATCCAAATCTCTCCCAAAGATCAGCACCAAACCTAAGAAGACTTTAGATCAGCAAATTGACCAAAGTCGGTGACTCACTGCTGCTGGGCAGACATCTCCATACACTTCAGATCCTGATATCATGCAGTGGACTTTCAACCAGTTGCTCAGTGACCATAGTGGATGCCAATTCGCTATCCAGCTTGAATACGGAGCTTCAGCATTGACATCAACATTAGCATCAAGGACATCAGCCAATCTGAACAGCATGCCGCCTACTACAGGCAAAGGAAAACACCATGCAGATGATCCACAAGGTGCACCACCCCAGGCAAAGAAACGGCGAGCACGAATGTGCAGGACATGCAAGAAAGAGACTTGTCAAGGAGCATTCAACAGCAGGCCTTGTCAGTTTTCAGGTGTAGGTAGTGGCAGTTCCGTACGTGGTGTGCTGTCAGCACTGGCAGCGTCATCGTCGTCGTCTGGTGGTTTGAGGCAGGGTACTATTGATGGAATCTTCGGCTGTCCAGCCACTTCTGGAAGTTCTGATGGGGCCACAAGGGGTAGCTATTACCGTTGATCCAAGCTGTCATCTAGATAAAATTCCCAGCCCTCCAGCCCGCACTACAGCAAGGAGACAGTACTCTCTCCGCTTCTCTCCTCCTCCTTTGAATTAATTTTTTTGCTTCCGCACCAAACCCTACACCTATAAATCAAGTGCCAGAATTAATGGTTAAGAAGTACAAGAGTAGGTGAGTGCACTCTGTTTTGGTCTATCCTGGTATTTCATAATGATCAAACATTCTGCTAGTGAAATTTATGCTACCCATGCCAGCCATCTAATTAAGGTTGATATTGGTGAAGTGAGCTATCTGGTTATTTCAGAGACTGACATTACAGCACTTCCAGAAAACCTTGAGAATCGATCAAGTTTATTTTTTTTGTATTACTTGATTAGGAAGGACTTGCTCCTGCCCTTCACTACCATTATCGTGTATCATATCTTGCACATGCCCTACCGATACATCAGCCCAGACCTCAAAGAGTGTGCTCTGTGCCTTTGGGAGCTTGGTTGGACAAAGGAGCTCATTGTTGAGAGCCTCACCATTTCCCAGGCCAGTCTATACAGATGGAATGACATCTTTCTTGAATATGGCACCGTTGCTTGCCCTCCTGAATCTTACAATCCTTGTGGACGCCAGAGGATCTTGACTCGGTCTATCCTTACAGCAATAAAGGATGTCTATAGGGCAGAAGCTGACACATATCTGGATGAACTGTGTTGGTGGCTTGCAGGTCGAACATGACATTGTTATATCTACTTCCGCACTCCAGGAGAACCTTCAAGAGGCTGGTTTGACATGGAAGCTGCTTCACAAGATAGCTCGTGAGTGAGATGAAGCTCTATGGATGGAATTCAGAGCAACAGTGAGGGATAACTCAGCAGGAGACAGGGAGGAGTTTGTCTTTCTTGATGAGATGAGCAAAAATGACCATGATACAGCATGTCAGTATGGCTATGCAATGCAGGGGGAGCATGCTGATTTTGTGGACAATTTTGTGTGTGGGGATCAATATTCACTGGTCGCTGTACTTGCTCTTGATGGATATATTGCACACTGAGTCATTCCCGGATCGTTTGACTCTATGGAATTCTTTGATTTTGTCGCAGAAGATGTGGTGAGTGAATTGTCCATTTCTACATACAACATACTCACATATACCAAGGTCACTCAAATGAATCCATTTCTGCAGCCACGAAGTATTCTCATCCTCAATAACTGCTGCATACATCATAATGAGGACCCTTATTGACCTTGTCAATGGTGCAGGTAGGGTCCATGCTTACATCTTATCCTAGAGATAGTCTAACCTGTTGCCAATGACCAGGCTGCTTGCTTCTCTACCTGCCTCCATATTCACCAGATCTGAATCTGATAGAAGAGTCATTCAGCACTTGTGAGTAAATCTCTGTTCTGTTTTGAGTCAGCTGCTCATTGAGTGTCTAGTAAAAGCCTTTCTGAGACATCATGGCATACAAATCTATGAGAACAACAATCCTGAAATGGTGCTTCTGGAGGCATGTGGATGTGTCAGTAGAGAGCAAGCTCATGGTTGGTTCAGGCATGCTGGTTATATCTGGGATCAATGATACATTCCATTGTTATTCTGATGTGATTTGTATACATGATGGTACGAGCGATGAGGTGTGTAAAGCTATTGGAAAGGTGCAGGTAGTGGTATCAAAAGTGAGGTAATCAAAGTGAAAGCAAGGTAGCAAAAGCAAAAGCAAGGTAGCAAAGCGGTACACATACTATATGTCCCAAAATCCATTCTTGACATCCTGGATAAAGTGCTTATGCTTCGATAAAAAATTGTCCCAAGGAAGTTTGGAGAATCCAGCAAACCCCTGCCAATCGTCACATCCCAGACGCTCAACACGATGGTCTCCTGGCTGGAACTTGAGCTTTGTCAGATGCTGTTTATCTTTGTCATCAATGAAATAGTGGTCACAAAACTCTGTGAGAGAAACTGGACATGGGAGTGCCATTTTCATGGGTGAGTTAGGCATGGAATTGGTCACATCACAGAGTAACGGAGTACGAGGCCTATCATCAGAGTATCCATAAGGCTGTGCAACATGGTGTGCTCCATGTGCCATGTGAGGATACGGAGCAAACAGCATGGAAGGAGGATAGCCATAGTATGGGGGGAATCCATATGGATAGTGCGGTTGCATACCGGGCAGAGCATGAGGCAGGAGGACAGGTGCAGCGGGAGTGGTGGAATCAATATTGTTCAAGACTTGAGTACCAGTTGCTGGGGCCTTGAGGCACCTGTCATGGGCAAAATGCATACTTACGGGAGGTTTATCTTTGTCCATACATTTCTCAGCCTAATGCACATGTCAGTGTTGTGGATAAGATGCAGCATATATGGATGTACTATTGCTACTGCCCAGACAACAACATTTGCCCTGTTGATCTCCCAGCAATTCTGAGTTCTGGGCTCACAGTAAACACGCTTGAGCAGCCAGCATGGGTCATTCCCAATGGGGTACATGCTGTAAATCTCACTGATTTCATTGGTGTATTGGTGATTGAGTAGATCCTAGTGCCATTCATCAGATTACAGTTATTGCCAACCACCCTTGCTTGATGCATCTTTTGTTCACGAATCAATAAACCGATGGGTCCTTGAGAAAATTCTTCAAGCTCAGCGTCGTCCTTATGCAGGTTCATGTTGGCAGAGGGCTACACCATTAGCATGATGGTACAGAGTAACAAATACCAGAAGCTCACGAGTTTTTGCACCTTTGAAAGCGGTGGAAGGAAAACAGTGATTGTCGCATCCTTTCCTTTCGATGAAAGCTTTGAGAGTGCTGAGATGAGGGCCTTGTATCCATTTGGGCTCGAGAGAGGTTTTTTTGAGTCATTCTTGGGCATATTCTGCTTTCCACGTCAACTTCTTCTGATTTATTGCAGATGCAGATGTGGAATGGCCTTCGGGAACAGCAGCGGATGCAAGAGCATTGAGGAAGGTAGATTGCGAGTCACCAAGAGAGAAAAAGAAGGGGCCATAATGTTCGACAGTGGGCTTTGCTCTGAGTGTATGTCCTGGAGCAACAACCTCGATGTATGTGGTGATTGTTGGGATGTCCTTGTCCTCTGTCCTTGCTTTTTTGCTGGGCCATTGAGTCGACTGTATCACTATTGTCGTCATCTCCATCATCATCCTTCAGCTGATCCTCCCTGTCATCATCGCTGCTGCTGTCAGTCACCGAGCCATCCTCTTCTGGCATCCTCCTTCGTGTTGGTCTGCTGAGTCTTCTGTTCCTTAGGCCTGGATGGTGCCCTCTTTGCTGCAGTTGTCGTGCCAGATCCAGCCTTCTTGCTGCCTCAGGATCTTACTTTGTTTGATGCATAAGTGAACCATCTGCCATCTGGTGGTCATCTGTGTCATTCAGGCCTCCTCTATGGACTAGGAACTCACATTTAGGGTCTTGAGATATTTCCCAGGATGTCCTGATTTATTTCTTCAAGTGCAGAGGGCATATTATGGGTATAAAGTAGGTGGTAGAAGCAGAGTCATCATGGTAGGAAGGTAAGAAGGTGTACTTCCTAATCAAGTAACACAAAAAAATAAATGCGATTGATTCTCAAGGTTTGCTGAAAGCACTGTAATGCATTGATGGAAAAGGCAGTTCTTGATATTTCTGGAAGCAATGATGTCCTGGATGAGCAATTCCTTGTTGAATATATGATTTAAGAGTTCTCATTATCTCTCATAGTCATGGATGTCATTCAATCCAGCAATTATTACCTATCATATGGGTATGAGACAGCATTGAGATGCAAGGTTGGACTTGTGCTGTTGACTTTTATTCCCTCAGCAGACTAACCATTTTAACAGGAAACTTTCATGTGCACTAGTTCATCAACATCACCCATGATCGACACAATTTTTATTTTGATGAAATCTAAGCTATGGTAGACAAAGCACTGTGTAGAACAGAGCATAGGATTGACATATGCAATGTAACGGTCTGATATCATTAATATAGTGCTGATTGCAGCTCTCTTAAGTCATGAATGGATTCTGCTAGCATGTCTTGATTTAAGATTAGCAGATAATTTGCTCTTATTAACTTACTCCTCCTTTCCAAGTTTTATTTTGGTTTTACCATCCAAATTATCTATGCCTGGTGTTCCCTGTTCAGCTGCACTGTGTAATACTAACTGCGAACAAGAAGAGCCAAAGTTGAAGGCAAGACCAAGTCCTTATTCGCTTTGTCTGCACTTCACACCCACACCCTGAATGGAAATTTTCAGGTGTACTGAAAGTCTCAAAACTTGACCAAAAACTCATCTTGAAACTGACCTTGCTCCCCCTATCCACAATTTCAGGACAAGTTTGCAGCCAAGTTTCTTGAGTCATGTGATCATTTCAGTTGACATTATACTGTTTCATTTGGACGATGCCCAACATCCAATGTTGAACTACCTACTTACTAAATGTCCTCCAAAGTCTCTGTTTTGCCTGTTGAAGTCATTGAAGTCATCATAGCGACAGTGTGAAATCATTCTGACCTGAAGGTCAAGGAACACTTCTTGTTCATGAAATTGTCCCTTTATGTGTGTCAGATATGGTGCCTCACTTTTCTGAGGATTTTGCTTACAGATGTTCACATCCTATCAATGCCATACTTGATGTACATCCTTCATCTCTCAGACAAGATGCTTGCCCCTGACCTCACTGTCTATCTTATCAGTCACTGTCAGTCCATCATCATGCACTGGAGATACACCAGTGCAACTCTTTTTACAAACCTTCCTCATGTCTGGCGAGTAACATTTCTATATTACAACTCCCTCTCTCTGGCCCACCTGGTGTTTCAATTCCATCTTCTCCCCAAATGTTGAGCAGCTTGATATGCTCTTCTCATACAACACCACCAAAAAGCCCTTTGATGAAATACCATGCCAACAATTCTACTTGGAGAATCATTATTATCAGCCAGAGTTTTACTCTCCAAACTCCCTCAATCACTTCAATGGCCTTAAGGACTATCAGACCAAGTTTAAGATGCCCTATATCCATGATCTGTCTATATATGAGGCCAATCCTGCAATGGTTATACTTACTATCGAGCTCTTCCCTGCCCTAGAAACTTTACATGCAGACATTGGTTCTGCTGTACTCAAGGCGGGATTTGATGCTATGAACATTCAATCAACAGAAGGTTGCATATATGAAATTCCAAGTCCTATGTATATAGGATACTTGGTTCCGAGTCTTATGAATATAGGATTTCAGTTATTATGCAGACCTGAATTGATCATGGAAAAAAAATCTATTTGAGGAATCAATCCATCATAGCATTTGCTGACTTACTTGACTCCAGCTCACCATGGGAATTATTTCTATTCACTCCAGCATCTATCTGATGCCTTTCTCCAGTTGTCTCTTATGCTCCTTCAGCTTAGCATGTGAACTTTTCTAATCAGTCCCTGTTCCTTCTGACTACCTCTCTGTTTCGTTCCTGCATGCTCTTTCTATTCTTGTTCTTTTTGGTTTTTCATCCTCCTTGTGCATATGTAATTGTCTCCTTATTTGAGTAATGGTCCATGCAGCTTTTATTTGATTCTCTGTCACTGACCTTCTCCCATTTCTTTATCCATTCATCTTATTGTTCTATTTCTTATGTTTGTGATATTTTTTTTTCTTTCTCCTGGGTTTTGTATATCACCTTCACAGCATATTCAGTTGTATCTACAACATATGCTTAGTTCTGCATAATTATCTCATCTCCCTCTTCATCTATACCCTCCTTGTTCTCATGGCATTTACGACTTTGTTGTACATCCTCTTCTCCATTACTATACTCAAATCTGACCTTTCGCTTGACTTTCTGTGATACACCTTGCCCATGTCCTTGGTGGTGAGCATCCTTTCTCTCTTTCTCTGCTTTCTGTGTCATATTTTTAGCATGTCACTTGTTCCATGATGCGGCCTGCTCACCATTGCATGCTTGCAGTTCACCAGTGCCAGTGCCCTGAGAATCAGTTTGGTTTTGATGTTGCCCCCTATACTCTTTATGAACACAATAGAGCATTGTGCCTCTACAATGTCGCTGATCCTGAACCTTGCAGCTTTGTGTGGATGTATCTGCATATGTCAGGTCAATCTGACTGTGTTCCACATATGTTACTGCACTCACCATTTCTTTTTGCCATCTATTACACCTCGAAAGTATTTCACCATGTTATCTTCCATGTGGATCATGTTGATGCCTGCGAGATGTGCAAGAACTCCATTGGGGTCGATTTCATCAGTCAACAGTACCCTGTTCTCTTGCTCTGCTCTTCCTCTCAGTCTGAAATATCTGTTAGAGAGCTCAATAGCATCGTCGCCTGTGATCTGCTCTGGTTTCCAGTCTTCCAGCTGTCTCTCCCAAAAGTCTCTCTCTGCATTCCTTCTCAATCCCTTCATGCTCTCGATGGCTTTCTTGAACATGTCACTCCTGAGCCTTGTGATAGTCATGGACTGATTAAGGAAGTGCAGTTTCTCTCACATTCCTCTACTTCACATCATTAGCACTATTCTTTCCTTGTATTTTGTCTGCTGACTCATGGCATTTCCCTGTACACAGGTGGCAGGTCTGTGCATGCGATCATGCCCATCAGTGTGAAAACCATTTCATCAATACCTTCTTCTTTGTCAAATCCTCTCGAGAGTCTCCATACTTGAGCGTCCTTGTCATGCACTATGTGTACACCATCCAGGGCTTGCTGATCCTGTCTTCCTGGTGAGTCTAAATTTTTCTCAAACATTTTTGACTGTGATGCACCTCAAATACTCTTGCCAGCTGTGCATATGATGCTACCCTGTTTGTGATATACAACATGTGGAACATGCATCCAATCGCCTTCTCCCATGTGTTCAACGAAGCGAGAAATGATTGGCTGCCAATGATGGCTAAGTTGTTCGAGAGCTTCAACAATGGGATCTATACATTAGAGGAGGTCAGAGATTTTATTTTATAAGGAGAAAGCTACATAGACAATTCCCAGACATGTTCGTGTATGGCCAGGAAACTAGCACCGAAGCCATGTTGACATGCTGGACCCAGAGTCCAGAAGTCTTCTCTACTATATCCTTTTTCTGTACCAACAATCATGTGGTGCAACAGTCTATACAGTACTGCTGCACGATAGAGCCAACATCCATTGGCAGTATCCATTGGACCATCTTGCAGCAGTACATATCACTCAGCACCGCCATGCCAGATGATGGCAGCAGGCTCACAGTGTGAAAGCTGTGGAAGAAACACATACAAGAAATACACCTACCATGTAGCTCCACCCTTACTGTCTGTTTTTGTTGCGTATACACGAACCTCCCCCCCCCCTGACAAGGTCATGCAGATAGTCATCAATGCAAACCCAATGCAATACAAGCTGGTGAGTGTGGTATATCACAGAGACAGACATTTCACAGCAAGATTTATCAATGAAGACAGGCGCATGTGGTATAATAATGGCATAACACTGGGTAGGCGGTCACTCTTAGAAAGGACAATGGATCAGGTAGACATGATGCAAGACAGCATCAGCAAAAAACCAGATGTATTCCTTTACTGCCAGGATGATTTGTAAATGTCTCCTGTAGCAGGGTTCACTCAATGGCAAAGCCTGCTACATCTCATTATGTTTTAGTTTCAATTGCTGCATGCCAAAACACCCCGAATAAATAAATGATACTGTCAACACTAACATTGTATTCAATAACATGATGCAATAAACCACAAGTAATTTTTTTGATACTTGCCACTCAACAACCACAGATACTTTCATAATTCTATGCATGCTGCAAATGTTCTACATGGCTTCATTGTTGGATGAACTGTCTGTCGGCACCGTCATAAACCAAGGCAGCCAATAGTCAACCTGTGGCCCCAATACCGGCTGCACCTCAGGCATGAATGCACTTATATCTTCCAGCACATGATTGTGAAGGGGTCACTGTAGAATGGGCTCCCAGCAGAGGGGGCACCTGAGGACCACAGGAACAAGAGCTGAAAATTCTTCAGAATTTTGGTATTCATCCTCCAGATCTTGAAAGTGATGGGCTAGACATGGGCAATGGAAGCTATGTCCACATTCTAAGCTGCTACTATGATCAGGATGGTCATCCAGGCAAAACAGATAGGAAAAACCGACATGCACACCTCCATAACAGGAGATATGCAGATATTGCAGTGTATAGCATCAAAGATTTCGTCTTGAAGCTGTCCCAGCAGTTAAGGTATGTAGTTTGGCTGAGGTGTGTGACCTTACTTCACAATTTTGCCTATGATGTTCAGCTGCTTTGGGCAAGTGAATGCCACATCTTTCATTCTCCATTTGCAAAGTTGCAACCTCATTTTCCAAGTTGGTTATTTTCTGACACATCCAGTACTGATCCTGTAGAGACAGTGAGGACACTAATGCGATACAATGGCCAAGTACATACCTGATGTTGCATGACTCACCACCAATCAGCATCTGCTCTTTCTTGGAAAGCTTGGTCATTTGCTTCTTTTGCCTCTCTCTTCTGAGATTATTGTTGGACTATACAGGGATATCAACCTATGATGCAAGACAGATGCACACAGCATACCTCCAGGACCACAGTGTACATCCACAAAAGTTCCAAATCAGACATAGCAATGCAACAAGCAAGCAGAAGAGACTTTGCACAATCATACAAGTAGGAGAGCAAGAGATGAAAGCAAGAGACCTTCTTTGATGTTCAAGATCTTACTGTTTTCCATGTTTTACTCGGTGTGTTAGCCACTAACTCAAATCGACTTAGATCGTACTAAGGTCGCTACTCGCACTTCGGTAGATGACGCTTTAGCAAGTCAAAGGCGACGCAAGTCGATGGGACAGATAGTCACGAAGGACGGAGTTCGATGTTAGGTAGAATTAACCTTAGCCGAAGCTGGGGTTCAGGCCAGCTGAGGCTCTACTTAAATACACGTGAGTATTCTAAAAATATGACTGCGCAGTCAGTCCGTGATGATCGCGCACGCGTAATCTGGCTGACTAAAGAAAAGAAAAGAAAAGAAAAGGAAAGGAAAAGAAAAAGAAAAGAATAACCGTAACATTACCCCCTCCTTAAGACTCATTCGTCCCGAATGAGAATATATCTCCTTCCTTCCGCACCAGCGAGTCGAGGGTCTCCCTTCTGCTTTAAAACAGGATCGATTGGGCCTCCGCTACACCGTAAAAAGTCACTTCGTGTGTTCGGCCTCCAATCCTCTCTCCCCCTGGACTCAGGTTCCTATAACTCCTGAGCCACTTTGCGCCGGTTAGGCCTCGACTGTCTGTCGGGATCCGCGATCCCTAAGGGTTCAGTGCTCGTGATTGAGCGGTGGAAATCCCCTTCTATACCGTAAGTGTTGCTTTAGGACTCCTCCATTTCGGAGGAGTCGATGGATCCTTCCTGTGAGGAAGACGATCGCGAATCGGAATAGAATGACCACTCGTTGTCATCCTCATCATCGTTGTCATCATCTTCATCCTTGTCCCAGTTTTCGATGACTCGTTGGAGGTTGTCTACGTCTGATTCATCAGTATCGGAGTAGTTAGGAGATTCGTTGTCTGGCGAGAGCATATTGTCGATTGCATTGAGCTCCTCAGAGTGGGCAGGTGCGGTACACTCCGAGGAGTAAACGGTTATGATGTCCGTGACACAGGGGGTGTCAGGGTCATGATATTCGATTGGGAGGTTACGAGGGATTTTGTCGTCGTACCCAAACGTTTTCCCCTTCTCATCGACTGTCCAGATCATCTTTTGAACCCGGGCCTCATAATCGGTTACGAGTTCTTCCGCATTGGCCATGTCGGAACGTTTGACCCAAGAGTTCTCCTCGCCGGGATATCCTTTCCACTTGACTAAGTACTCGGTAATCGTTCGGCGGGTTCTTCCGCGACCGACAACCCGATCTCTCTCTGCCACAATCTCCTCAATCTCATATTCTTCTTCGTCCTCAATCAGTTCTGGAGGCGGCCTCTCAGGGCGCGGTTGATTTGGGAACTCAGGAGCGTGATAAGGGGATAGTAACGATTCATTGAATCGATTGTGAATGCGCCACTTTTGTGGGAGTTCCAGTTCATAGGCGGACGCTCCTTTCTTGGCTACAATACTGAACGGACCGACTCGTTGGTCTCCTAGTTTCTTCGCGGGACGTGGGAGATTGAGATGAGTGGAATCCAGCCATACTTTGTCGCCGGGTTGATATCCCACTGCCTCCCCTCTATGCTTGTCATAGTTCTTCTTCATCAATTCTGCCGCTCGTTCAAGGGATTGTCTCGCCTTTTCCTGCACTTCCTGAATTCCTTGTACTAGTTTGGATGCGGCCGGGACGGCGTCTGGGCGTTGAGCGGTTTTAATGACCTGCCCATCGCGTCCGAAGACCACCTTGTATGGGGAGAAACCGGTAGCTGAGTGCTTCCGGTTATTGTGAGTGAATGCTGCGAGTGGTAGCCATTCGCTCCAGTCGTCTTGTCTATAGTTCACGAACATCTTGAGGTACTTCTCTATTTCTTGGTTAACCCGCTCTGTCTGGCCGTCCGTCTGAGGGTGATAGGCCGTTGAAGGGTTCCCTGTCACGTGAATGAGCGCATAGAACTCCTTCATAAACTTCGACACAAATATTGCGCCTCTGTCCGAAATGATTTTCTCGGGCATCACCCCGTATGGCACGTAGATGTAATCTCGTAGGATCTTGGCAAAACCTAGAGATGACAATTCTTCGGTGCAGGCGATGGGTATGATGGTTTTGGAGAACCTATCGACCAGGACGAGAATGGCGTCATTCCCTCTGGAGTCGGGGAGTTTGGTGATCATGTCGACCGATATGTGCGTCCAGGGTCGATTGGGAACCTCATTTGGGTGCAGAGGCGCCCTCTTGGGACGACGGTCCGCCTTGGTCCTCTGACAAACTTCGCATCCTTTCACGTAGGCTTCCACCTCCGAGCGCATTCGCGGCCACCAGTAATCCCGTTGGATTAGCTCCTTAGTCTTTTCAATGCCGGGGTGACCAGCCGTCGCATGGTCATGCTTGAGGGCTATGATTTCTCCCCGTAGTCGCCTATCCTTTGGTATATAGATGCGACCATTGTACCACAATAGTTCTTGATCTCGAGAGACCCCCTTTTCATGATTAAGGGAGTCGGAGATTCCTCGATCCCACTTGCGTGGGTCATGGGTAGCTAGTCGGATCTTTTCGTGGATTTCCTCCGCTGTAGGCATAATAAGGGCCCGGAAATGGGCTGGTCTCAACACCGTCACGTCCCTATTGTCGTCCTTCCCCTGGTCGTGGTCAGCTCGTCGTGACAGCAGATCGGCTTTGCGATTCTGAGCCCCTGGCTTATGATGTAAGGTGAACTGGTACTCGGCCAGTTCCGTTACCCATCGTGCTTGTCGTCGATTGAGCTTTTGGGGTTTTCGGAAGTACTGTAGGTTGGAGTGATCCGTCCAAATTTCGAAGTCCT